AGCTATGTTGGTATGCACCCCCACAAATAGGAAATGACATGTTACAGTTGCTCTCTGTGTAGCTTTCCTCTCTACCAGAAGAAAATTCTGTCCCTCCAAGTATATCTTTTAACTTGAAGGATAATATTTCAAGAGTAATTGTCTTCCCATTTCACATCTCTCCATTTTTTCCAATGCCTCCCCACAGTACCACATACAAATTAGCATAAGGCTCACTTCTTCTTGGGCATGAAGAAATAGTCTATCTTGGGTAATTCTTTCATCACTATTATTAAAAATACTTTTTTAATATTTTTTAATATTTTTATATTAAAAATGTTTTATTACATTTCTTTAAGCTTATTATCCAAAGAAGAAAAAGAAGACTTACGATAATCAAAACTTAATTTACACTGTTGGTGACCAGACAGCAAGTAAAGGAGCATATGGTAATTGAATATTTTAATAAGAAATACTAAGTAGTAATTTGGGGAAAGACTGAGATAGCATCTTTTGCTTAAATGCTTTTAATGCCTTAAATCTTCTGTTTTCAGTTGTCAAATGACTGATTTAGAGTGATGCTTACCAATAATGACACAATCTCTCTTGCTTTCAGAATTTGATCTCTAGTTACTGATTTTGTGTTCTAAACTTAACATTATGTCATCACTTTAGAAAAATCAAATGAAGAGTCTATTCCTGTTAAAGAAACAGTATATGAAACCCAACAAATTGCAAAATAGTTTTAATAATGCTCAAAATTATTTTAGAAAACTCTGAGGTGGGTCAGAAATTAACTCCAAAGCCACTGTGAACCCTATTTATTATTTATCTCGTGCTGTGTTACTTGATATTGTCTATTAGGCTCGTTGGATTAAACCAGGAACCCAAATTACAGCATAAAACTCCCCCAAATAATACGCTATCAAAAGTATGAGACTGTTAAAAATTAAACAATATGAATCTCCTCCCACTATCAAGTTTCCAGGGAAAAATTAAAGTATAAAAGTTAAAATTCCTTTGGCCTTATCAGTTCAAATCTAAAGAAAAAAAAAAGTCCAAAATCTTTCCTCCCTGATGAGGTAATTTGATTAATCTCATCAAGACTTAGAAACCTGGGGAGTGACAAGCATGCTTTAGTGGAAGCTGTCTTCCACTCTCAGGACCACTGAGGTAGAATTAATTCAACACTAAGCTTCATGAGTCCTATGTTTAAAGTTCAAAGACATTTTTTTAAGACACCAGAGTTACTACAACATACAAAATTATGACAACACCACCCCCCCCGCCCCACTAAATATAGACAATGAAACTAAATTCTCAGTTTCCAAAGCAGTTATCTCACACAGAGTGATCTTCTAAAACTCTAGTGTTTAATGCAACACAGACTGGTCTTACTGATGACAAAAATTCTAGTGCTATTAGGAGAGTATGGTAGATGGAAAATACTGTTTTCATTCTTACCAGGCTACCAGTCTGTGACAATTGTTATAGGGATCAAACCTGTAAATTTAATTAAGCATAGTTGGGAAACATTCCATTAAAAGATGAATTCTGAAACTCTACTGACACCTATCTTGGGGTGAGAGGTCTTCACTCTAAGAGTGCCTTGTGAATCATTTTTTTGTGAATCTTAGAACTATACATCAGTGACATCACAAGTCATTGTATATTATTAGAAGTGCCTCTCTCTCCTAGTCATTGCAATCAAACCTTCTTACTTTTCATCATTGAACCCTGAGTATGAACTCTGTACAGTATCACAGCTTTTATAGTCCTATGGGTAATTTGCACCACATTTTGTAGCTGGCAACTCTCCAATATGAGTTCTGAGCCCTGAATTCCCTGTATTTCTTGCTTCTGATCTTGTGTCTGTTTTCTTATTTCTCCCAAAAAGATCCTGAGGTGTTCACTTTGTTTTTTTCAAATTATCTAAGGCAAAATGGATTTTTTTTTTTGTATAATTGCATCCAAACACATGTATGGATTTGTGTGATCTCTACCACAATCATGTAAGATTCAGTCATTACAATCACAACATCCCAAAACTTTCCTTTTGCTGTCATACATTCCTCCCTCCCACTAATAACGCTAGGTAACCACTGATTGTTCTTCATCACTATAGTTCTTTTCCCTTTGAAGCATGTCTTAGAAATAGAATCTTATAGTATTTGACATTTTGATAATGTCTTCTTTCATTCAGTGTTCGAAATTTATTCAAGTTATTGCATGCATTGATAGTTTACTCCTTTTGAATCTCTGAGTAGTATTCCATTGTATGTATGCACTAGAATTTATGTGTACATTCATCAATTGAAGGAAATTTGGGTTATTTCCAGGTTTTGGTGATTATGAATAGAAAAATCAGAAATATTTTTAGTCAGCTTTTTGTATAAATAAGGGATTGTTGAGTCATATGGTAAATATATGTTCAAGTTTATAAAGAGCTGTCCAACTTCTTTCCAGAATGCCTATAATATTTTGCATTCTCATCAGTAATGCATGAGAGATCCATTTGCTATGCAGTCCTGCTACCATTAGTATTTTCAGCAATTTTTAAAAAAGGTTTTATTTATTTATTTGGCAGAGAGAACAAGCACAAGCAGGGGGAGTGGTGGGCAGAGGGAGAAGCAGGCTCCCTGCTGAGCAAGGAGCCTGATGCAGGACTCAATCCCAGAACCACAGGATCATGACCTGAGCCAAAGGCAGATGTTTAACTAACTGAGCCATCCACGCATTCCAGCAATTTTTTATTTTAGTCATTCTAATAGATGTAGTGGTATCTCATCGTGATTTTATTTGCATTTCCTTAATGGCTAATGATGATGACTATCTTTTCATATGTGTTTGCCTTTTGTAAACCCTGCTTGGTAAAGTCTCTGTTGAAGTTTTTGCTCATTTTTAATTGGTTGGTTTTCTCACTGTTGAGTTTAAGGAGTTATTTATATATTATGTATACAAGTCTTTTTCAGATATGTGATTTGCAAATATTTTCTCTCAGTCTGTGATTTACCTTTTCATTTTCTGTTCCATTAATCAATTTATGTGTCTATCCCTTTGCCAATACTGCACTATCTTAATTATTGTACCTTTTTACTGTCTTAAATTCAGGTAGTGTAATTCTACTAACTATTTTTCCCTCAAAATTTAAGGACTATTTTAATTAATTTGCCTTTTGCATATAAATTGTATGATCAGCTTGTCTACAAAAATTATCCTGGGATTTTTGAATGAAGTACATTAAATCAATCTATAGATCATTTTGAGGAGAAAATAAATCTTTACAGGTCTTGGTCTTCCAATCCATAAACATAGTAACTCTTTCTGTTTCTTTAGTTGTACTTGATTTCTTTCATGTTTTTATAGTTTTCAGCATAGAGATCTTGTATATGTTGTGTTATATTTATACGTAAGTACTTCATTTCTTTCATACTATTATACAGGACATTTTTAAAATTTGTTTTCCAGTTGTCCATAACCTTTTTTTAATTAATTTATTTATTTTAGAGAGAGAGTGCACAAGTCAGGGGAGGGGCAGAGGGAGAGGGAGGGAGAGAATCCCCAAGCAGACTCCCTGCTGAGTGCCAAGACAGATGTGGAGCTTGATCTCACCACCCTGAGATCACGACCTGAGCCAAAATCAAAAGTAGGACACTCAACTGACTGAGCAAGCACCCCTGTCCATGACTGTTGTTTTACTATGTCTCTTTGTACATTGTTATCTGGAACAACCCTAAAAAAAAATCTGTACAAATTTGTGCCGAAAGCAGCCGCTTAACGGACTGAGCCACCCAGGCGCCCCAAGATAAGGATTTTTTAAATGTATAGCAACAATACCATTATCACATGGCACAAATTTGTACAGATTTTTTTTTTAGGGTTGTTCCAGATAACAATGTACTAAGCTTTTCACAATCAACAATAAATAAATATTTCACCCTTTAAGTGGAATGTGAAAATTTTGCCACTATATATTACTCCTTATCCCTCTTCCCTTTGTTATAGTTGTCCTATGTATTACATCTACATACATCAAACATCCACTCAGAGAATGTAATAAGTTTTATTTTAAATAACTAAATAGAAGACTAGCCTATTATATTCACTCAGATAGTTACCATTTTGAATGCCTTTTAATTTCTGATATCCCAGGTTTCGTTCCAATATCATTTTTTTAGTCTATAGAATCTCTTTTAGTCTATAGAATCTCTCTTTAGTCTTAGAATCTCTTTTAGAACAGATTTTCTGGCACTGAATCATATTAATTTCCCTTCATCTAAGAATGTCTTTACTTTACCTTCATTCCTGAATGATAGTGTTTTCATTTGATATAGAATTGTAAGTTGACATTTTTTTTTCCTGAACTTGAAAACTGTTGTTCCATTTCATTGTTTCCATGGTTCGGATGAGATATGAGCCATATTTGAATTGTTGATCCTCTATAAGTAAGGTGACATTTTTCTCTGGTTAAGATTTTTGGGGGTGGGAAATAGTTTTTAGCAGCTTGATTTTGATATGTCTTAGTGTGGATTTCTTTCTTTTTTTTTTTTTTTCTGTTTTAAGGTTCACTGAATTTCCTTAAGCTGTAAGTTTATATCTTTTGCCAAATTTCTTTAAAGCAGATTTCCTTCTCCCACAGAAAGAAATACTGTCCAAATCTGGTGATTGTCATAACCATTATTTTAAAATATATTTACTACATGAGTGTATACCCTTAAACTATATATACACATATAAACATAAATACCATTAAAATATTTTAATGTAACTTATATGCTGTTGTATCCAGTCTTATGTGACTTGCTTTTTACACCCAGCATTATATTTCAGAAGTTTTATCTCTGTGCTGCCTGACATTTTATTTTATTTCACAACTGATCTTATCCCATTGTGTGGATATACCACAATTTATACATTTGTTTTTCTGTTGAGGGAAGTATTTGTTATTTGAACAATATTGCCCTTAACATTCATATATATATGAACATTCATATATATATAAAAAATCTCATGGTACTCACAGAAAGGAGATTCTCTCGGGGTTATATGCCTAGATATGGGATTTCTGGGTCATGTTTCCTCTTCTGAGAAGTTATCTTTTCAAATCTCTTCTCCATTTTCCTACTGGGTTTTCTTTTTCCTGTGGATTTGAAAGATATTTAAAGCCATCCTAGACATTTGTCTATTATATACATATATATAGTATAAATAACTTCTTCTAATTTATAATTTTCTTCTATTCTTTCCTTTTATCTTTTGATGACAGAAGTTATGAATTCAATATGACTGATGTTAATTTTTTGTTTATTTACAGCAAATATTTCCAGTTTTGTTAATGGCTTTTTTTAGCTTTTCTTATTAAACACTTCAAAAATAAGTAAAAACCAGCAGTACCCTTAATGTGCTTATCATTCAACTTCAACAACAACTCACGAATAATTTTGTTTTGTCTATGCCCTCAACCTCTCTCTGCTGCCTTGTTGTTCCAAAGCACATCCCATTAATATGAAAATAGGTATCTAAAAGATAAGGATTTTTTATTTTTTTATTTTTATTTATTTATTTTTTTAAAGATTTTATTTATTTATTTGACAGAGAGAGAGCACAAGTAGACAGAGTGACAGGCAGATGGAGAGGGAGAAACAGGCTCTCCGCTGAGCAGGGAGCCAGATGTGGGGCTCGATCCCAAGACCCCAGGATCATGACCTGAGCCGAAAGCAGCCGCTTAACGGACTGAGACACCCAGGCGCCCCAAGATAAGGATTTTTTAAATGCATAGCAACAATACCATTATCACATGGCACAAATAATCCTTTAATGTAATAAAATAAATCCCTATTCAACTTTCCAATGATCTCATAAATGTCACAAAAATACTTTGATGTTAGTTTGAATCTACATTGACATGCATTACAATAATTTGTTATGTCTCCCGAATCTTAATCTAATAGGTTCTTCTTCCACATACCCTTCTCCCTCCCTCCCTGCCTCCTTTTATTAATGGTTTATTTGTTGAAGAAACTGAGTTGCTTGTCCTGTTGAGTTCCTCACAGACCAGACTTTTGCTGATTGTATCTGTATGTAAATAATGTATATTATTTCTTCTGTATTTCCTGTAAAGTATTAGTTAGATCTATACACTTTCAGGTTTTTTTTTTTTTATTGAGGTATAATTGACATATAACATTATCTTAGTTTCAGGTATACAACATAATGATTTGATATTTGTATACACTGCAAAATGATCCCACAGTAAGTCTAGTTTCCCCCTGTCACAGTATAAAGTTACATAATATGCAATACAATATTGTTGACTATAGTCACTGTGCTGTATATTACATTCCCATGACTTACTTATTTTGTGACTGGACATTTGTACATCCTGACCCACTTCTCCCATTCCTCACCCCCAACCCTGCCCCGTCTGTCAACCACCAATCTGTTCTTTGCATTTGTGAGTTTGGTTTCGTTTATCTGTTTTATTTTTTAGATTCCACATATAAGTGAAATTACATGGTATTTGTCTTTCTCTGATTTGTTTCACTTAGCATAATACCTTTTCAATATATAAAATCGTGTCATTCACAAATAGTGACAGTTTTACTTCTTCCATTCCAATTTGGATTCCTGTTGTTTTTCTTTTTTTGCCTAATTGGCATCCCGGTAGGTACCTATAGGTCCTTTAATCTATTTTTTTGACCTTTTTTTTTTCTTTTTGCTGCTCTGTTTGGGTGAGTTCCACTGACCTGTATTCCAGATCACTAGCCCTTCCTTCTGTTTCATCCAGTCTGCGGTTGAACCCCTATAGTGTCTTTTTCATTTCAGTTATTGTATTCTTCAGCCCTATGACTTAATGTTTGGCACTTTCTTGTATTTTCTCTCTCTTTGTTGATCTCTCTGTGTTCATCCATTCTTTTCTCAAGATCCATGAGCATCTTTATTACTATTACTTCGAACTCTTTATCAGGCAAATTACTTATCTTTGTTTTTAAAGTTTTCTTTGGGGGCTCTTCTTGTTCTTTAATTTGGAACACATTCCTCCATTTCCTAATTTCGCTTGATTCTTTGCTTCTAATGTATAAAGCAAAACATCTCTCTCTCCCAGTCTTAAGGGAGTGGTCAAAGAAGACTGGGGGTGTGTTTCACCTGTTGTCTGTGCAGCATCCTGCCAAGAACTGTCTCTCTGATTGCTTCAGTCCCCTGGGGCCCCAAAACACAGGGGCCCTTGGCCACCAGAGATAGGCATTCAAAGGGTATTTCTTGTGAACTATGTGTACTTGCTGGCTTTGGCAGGGCCACAGGGGAGTGTTGGGGCAGGCAAGCCCACCCACTGGCTTTAGTGGGGCAGAGCCACAGGAGCAGTGCTAACAGGGTAAAGAGAGTAAAAAATGGCATCTGGCATCGCCAGCACTTAGCAAGGTAGGAGAGTGTAAAAATAGCACCAACCAGCACCTCCTTCCCTGGAGAGAGTTGGAACAAACCTCTGCCCATCCAGCAAATGCTTTAAGAATAGCCAGTGGATCTCCTTTATGTATGGCCTAAGTGCTTTTCAGCTTGCTGCTTTTGTGCTAGGTCTCAGGATAAGTAGTCTGAGCACAAGCCCTTTAGGAACAGAGTTTCAGTTTCCCAATGCCCTTTGAATCTCCTAGACATAAGCCATGTTGATTTTTAAAGTCAAATGCTTGGGGGCTCATCTTTCCAGTGCAAGTCCCAAGGGTTAGGGGGCTCAAACTCAGGGATGTGCTCCATATTTGTGAAATCCCTCTAACCTGTGGGTTGCTGCACTGGGGGTGGGGTTTTCAGTTAGACCATGGTTCTGCCTCTCCTCTCAACCAGATGTGGCCTTTTTATCTCTCTTTTTCAGAGAGAATTGTTCTAGATGTAGCTGGAGATTTAGTGTGTCCAAGGGAGAAGGTGAGGTCAGGGTCTTCTTATGCTGTCATTTTGCAGGTTCAGTTTCTCTAACAAGACTGATTCATAGATGGTGGTTAGTCTTTCCATCAGGTGGAATATAATATCTCCTTTTCTTTCTCTTTGTAATGTTAGCAGCCATTTATGTTCAAGGCCTAGATCCATGAATTAATTACAGGTTGCAAAGTTGGGATATTTTAATTCTATCATTCCTTCTTCATAGATTAACTGTAATACTTGTATAAAATAAACTTCCTCTTAACTACTATTTGCTTACAATGTGGTACAGGATACTTCAGAAAAGCAGACTGATGCTTAATATTTTCCCATTATTTATCAGTTTTCAAAATAGTAAATTGTTTCAGTAGCATCCTCCAACAGTAAGCAACTAGTTTTGTTTTGTGTCATTATGAATTTATAGATTTAAATAAATTCAATGTGCTTCAATACAATTCTGTTACTATGTTTATTAATGCTGAAATTTTGATAGCTTTGCCCAGTGGGATCTCCTTTTAGGATAATTCTTGAGTCCTTTGTGACATAACCCTAATGATTTTTGATAGCTTCCTTGTTATCTGGGAAGACAGGCTTATTCAAGCTTATCTTGTACACATTCAATTGCTTCAACATCATTGAGTTTTAGTGGAATTTTTGCAAAGATAAAGTGAACATATATAGATGATAGGTATACAGACAGACCTATTTGTGGAAAGTCTCCTGTTTTATTTATCTATTTGTTCTTATGTGAATACAATGTTCTCTTAATTACTGTAGCTTTATAATAAGTCTTGAAATTTGGCAGTTTGAGTTCTCTAACATTCGTGGTTCTTCTAGGCTGACTTGCTTATTATAGGGCCTTTATATCTCCATATAAATTTTAGAATGAGCTTTCTAGTTTCTACAACATAGTCTGCTGGGATTTACTTGGACTCACTTTCCATTTCCTTTTTCTTGCTGGCTAGCACCTCTAGGATACTGTTGAATAAAATGGTGCTTGTGTACATCTTAATCTTGTTCTAAAAACTTAAGGGAAAGTGATCAATATAAATTAGAGTATCAGCTCTAGAGATTTGAAGATAGCTTTTATCAGAGGAAGGACACATCCTCATATTCTTAGTTCACAAAGAGGTTTTATCATGAATGGTATTGAACTTTATCATATTTTCCTCTGCATCTTTCAGATAATCATCTAAATTTTCTTTTTTCTTTTAATGTTGTGAATCACTTTGACTTATTTTTAATGTTAAATGTTAAACCAGTCCTGCATTCTAGGGATTAATCTTACTCATTCATTATGCATTATCTTTATCTTATATTTTTGGATTCAATTTATTTTATTTATAATTTTTGTATCTTTGTTAGTGGGGGGATGTTGACGGAGATTTCCTTTTCTTGTAATGTCTTTTAATGATTTTGGTATCAAGGTGATCTTGATCTCAAAGTATGAGTTGAGAGAGAAGTTCATTCCTCTTCAATTTTCTGGAAGACTTTGTATGGAATTTGTGTGATTTCTTCCTTAGATAACAGATATAATTCAGAAATGAAGTCATTTGAGCCTGGAGCTTTCTTTCCGGATGTGTTTTTAACATATTCAATTTCTTTAATAGATATGTAGTTTTTCATATCAACTATTCATGAATGATATTAGTTTGTGTTTTTCAAGGAATTTGTCATTTGTATATAAGTTTTTAAACTTAACTGCCATACATTTTTCATAATATTCCTTTGTTATTATTTTTAGTATTATCTATAGACTTTTGTCATGCTATTATTATCTCTAATTTTCCTGATGCTGAAAATTTGTGTCTTCTCTTTTTCCTGGTCAATCTGGCTTATCACTTTTATTGAAGTTTTCAAAGAATCAGCTATTAGGCTCATTATTTTCTTTCTTCTATTTCCTTGATTTTCACTTTGATCTTTACTATTTTCTTTCTTCTGCTTACTAAATGTGGACAAGGATGTGAAAGAATTGAAACTCTGATGCACTGCTGAATGGTATGCAAAAGATATAGCCATTTTGGAAAACAGTGTAGTGTTTTTTATTTATTTATTTATTTATTTATTTATTTATTTATTTATTTATTTTTATTTTTTTAGTGTGGTGTTTTTTAAAAGTTAAACCTATACTTACCATATGATCCAGTCATTCCACTACTAGGGTATTTACCCATTAGAAATGAAAACTCATGTCCACACAGTGACTTGTACATGAAAGCTCATAAA